AATTATTACTCGATAAACTTATTTGGTTATTTCCTTTCACAGAAATATGCTTAACTTTTAAAATCATAAGCGGCTCTATAAGGAGGTCTGGGGCCTAATAATATATTTAAAAATATATACAGGGGGCCCATTATGCGAGGAAGTCCAATATTGTCGTCATTATCGAAGATATGAAAAAAAGTTTTATACAGATGGCTTCATAGTAAAGTTATGAGTAAGTTCATAGTAAAGGGACATATCATAAAAATATGTTTTTTGCATATCGAATGTGTCAAAAAACATTTATTATAAAGGATAACAGAATAAACTCGCGAAATAAAATTTACATTTTCTTATAGAGGGTAATTTTTATGGGGTCGCCCACATCGCAATATTTAAAATGGTATATCTAATTTTTTTAAATGCAACACCCTATTTATTATTTTTCTTTTAGATGCAGAATTAAAGAGTGATTTTTTTTATTTAAAGTGATCATTACTTTTTTTGTGACATCCTGTATACAACACAATATTTTTGGGATATGCACCATTATAATAAACAATGCAACATTTGTATAACACTTTTTTTCATATCTTAGACAACGACGATATTGGACTTCCTCGCACAAATGGACCACCCTGTATAATACAGAAAATAGATATTTTCAAACCCAGCTGTTTAAACTAGTTTCTGTGCCTACATTAAATATTTTACATTAAAATAATTTTGTTAAAAATTGTTACTGTGTATTACTATTTTAAAATAAATGTTATTTGTTATATAGATATAAAAGAGACTATAAAATATATAAAAAAAAACACATAAAAACCCCTTCTGACTTCTGGTAGACAATCCCGATGAGTCTAATTAAATTTTAAAATAAAAAACTCACCCTTAAATATGTAATTCGTGTTAATAAATATTTAGATATAATATATACAAAATAAATGTTGTTAAGTAAATCGTTTCATATATTTATGGATGTTTTTCTATTCGATCTTTATTAGTAAACATGTTTCTCATTGTAAATAAAAAATTAATCTGGAAGAAATATTATTTTTATTTAACATATGCAATTCTTGATAAAATGGTGAATGCGAGATTTTTTATACTTTCTTATAATTATTTTCTATTAAATACCTTTTAAAGCGTTGCATGTTCCTGAAGTTTAAATATATGATAATAAATATTTTTATTGTTAAATGGTAGTTCCTTTATACTTTTGGAATATTTTGTAATTATTTTATTAACTCTTTTTGATTTATGATAAAATGGTGAATACGCAAGGTTTTATTTACGTTCTATACATATATTCTGCCCTATAGAACAATAATAGGACATTATAAGGGGTGTTCGAAAAATGCACTGCTCAATTTGGTAAAGAATGCATTATTTACCTTTTAACATAGATAACTAGCTTGTTTAAATTAGGTAAAAAAAACAATCAAATAATTTACTTGACGTCAAATTTTGGTTATTGACCATTCCACGCCATTGGATTCTACCTAAAAACTCTACAGAACTCAGTTTTTTCCTTTTCCATAATTTATAAAATAACCGAGATACGAAGAATGTCGAAAAATGCAAAATTTTCAAATTCGCCTAGTATTTCAGTAACTAAAAGGGCTAGGACAAATCTCTGTAGCATTTTTAGTTTCATAAAAAGTAGAACAGTGATATAAAAGCTGCATTTTTGTATTTTGTATCCCTGTAAAACACACTAAAATGGTACAACCTGTACAGCAATATGTGCAATATGCAATTTAAAAAATATAACTTTAGTTTAAATATAAATTTGACTCACCCTGCATGTTGACAAAATTATTTTTTCTAAATGTGCACTACCATTACTCACATACTTATAAAATAAAAAAATACTTTTTAAAATACCAGTTGTAGGTATGTCTTTATTTGTTATGTATGTCTTAATTAAAATGACTTGAAATATATAAATATAATCATGAATTTTATTGTCGCATAATTGGCAACTTTTTTGACAATCTAGCAACACTGTGTAACACCGAAAATTTTTCGCCAAGCAGCCCATAATCATTATCATGCTGATCACGCTAGCCACGCACGTCGAGAAGAACAAAGGAAAAACAAAACAATTTTTTTCTGTCACTGGTTTATTTAATTTTTTGTATCATGGGATTTCTTTATTTGTTGCTGTTAGTTGATAGTTATCGCGTGAATCGGTACAAATCATAAGATAGAGAAGTAATTGAGCAACTATGATCTATCCGAAGTATAGAGTAAGTTTAAGGAAATAAAGTGATGTTATGTGTGCAAATTGTGAATTATAACATTATTCAATAACAATAAGATGTAAGTTAGTTTTGAATCAAATACCTACAAGACTTTCAATTTCAATGTGAGTAAGATGATTATGTAAATTTTTATTGAAATATTCGTGGCTCATTCTCCACACATTCTATCCTTTTTTCGTGATTTTTTAAGTTTTATATCCATAGCAAGGTTAAAGTATTTATTTTAACCTCTATGGTTAAAGTTATGAATTTGTATACATATTTTCGAATCTGTTATTAACCACTGATTTTATGGAGGCTATACAGGGTGGCTATACAAAAATTTGTATAGCCTAAACATCAAATTTAGCGATTACCACAGCTGCTGGGACATAAAGAGAAGACATGTGGCTATCTATTTCAAAAATTAAATTGTTCAAATGTCATATAGTATTGGCCGTAGCTGTCATAGAATTGAGCGATTAAAAATTATCGTAAATCATTTTTTTTAAATGGAAACCCACTTTTTTTTATTTCACTAGTGAAAATGTTTTTTAATTCGTTACTTTTTGATTATACATTTTGACTATACCTAAAATAAATAGTTTTTAAGTTATTTAGGATTTAGTTTCAAAGCGTAATTTTTTCTTGATTTTAGTTAGCTTCCGTTGACATTAAGTGTCAAACCGTCAGACAATTTATTTTCTTCCTTCAAAAAACTAATTATTTGAATTTCGTATAGTATTATAAATACTGTCTGGTAAAACTTTATACCTAAAGTGTATTTATAAAAATATATCTCGTATTTTAGTAATAGCTAGTGGCAATATGACATGGCCAGATATAGTTTTACGTGTGACGTTTAGTCGCGTGACGTTTAAAGGCTTAGGCTGCTGGTTAAAAAAAACAAAAAATATACCTTTTAAAACTTAATCTTAAATACCTTAAAAACTATTTATTTTAGGTATAGGAACATGTATAATCAAAAAATAACGAATTAAAAAACCCTTTCACTAGTGAAATAAAAAAAGTGGGTTTCCATTTAAAAAAAATGATTTATATAGTTTCTTAATCGCTAAATTCTATCACAGCTATGGCCATGATTATATGACATTCGAACAATTTAATTTTTGAAATAGATAGCCACGTGTTTTTTCTTTATGGCACAGTGGCTGTGGTAATCACTAAATTTGACGTTTAGGCTATACACATATTTTTGACAGGCAGTTTTTTTCGTTCAAAAATTTTAAATATTAAAATTCATAAAATTTTACAGAGAATTTAAGTATGTAATAAAAAATGGGGGGCACCCATTTAAAATAAGAAAGTTGTTGTCACTTCCGGTATTTCCGGAAGTGCCGCCATATTGAAAATATTTTTGATCGATAGATCTCGTTATGAAACTATGATGTGCAAGAAATCTCCGAGCTAGATGTTGTAGTTCTCTAGATATTTCTAATGCACGCTCAGACTGGGACACCCTGTATATAATTTGCTTAGGCCCCATACTCAGTATGCACTCATGTGTCAATTTAATGCGTCCATGCGTCCATCGGGAGTATGATGCGGTTTGTCAATGCGATGCGTCGATGTGGTTCGTCGATTCGATTTGTTAGTGCGCTCCAAAACCGACATTCCCCCAAACCGCCGTACAACCCATCGCATCGTAGCGCATCAAATCGACGCATAAGCGCATAGTGAGTATGGGGCTTTATAGGTTAGTAAGTAAATAATTGGGTAATAATAAATTTTCTCTCTTTTAACAGATTGTTCGTTTTGCTTAGATTGGAGACAGCCTGTAGTACAATTATCTGATTTTTTATCCATTTCGGTAAGTACCTACATATGTATATGCTATTTTTTTAAGTTGATTTGTACCATAGCTTATTCAGTACCAGCTGGTCATTTTTACTTGTTTTTGAGTAACCGGCTGCACCTATTCTCGAACACATACGAATATTAGAGTAGGTACCAGTCTCAGTTATTTTTTAAATCAAATTTTAAATGGATTCTGACTTGTTACGTAACATAAGATAATATATATGCAGATTTTCATGCAACTGATTCTAAGTCGACAAACTGCTTTTGAATAGGCTGTGACAGAACTATTAATGTTGTTTTTTTTATTATCGTATGATCGAAAAAAAAATCGGCGTCAAAGGGGAGCTGGGAAATTCAATGATTATGGCAATCGATTACTATAATTGATGATAATTTTGGCGAGATTAATCTCTAGACGAAATTTACTAAAAATTGACATAAAACTTGTTAAAAATTAACATTAATTATAGAAAGATTAAAACAAGGATAGAGTGGTTCCAGACACACAAATATATTTCCAAAAAATAATTTTTTCTCAATAATTTTAAACTGCGCTATCTAAAAATTATTTTTACTCATTATAAAAATAAATTACAATCTTCTTAAAGGCCAACTGGCTGTAAGCGCCATTAAAATATAAAGAAGAGTGCGGGCTAAGTAAATGACGTCTAGGGCTTGACTTCGCCAAAATTATCATCGATTGCCATTTCCTAGCCGTCTTTGACGCCGTTTTTTTTCGATCATGTGGTATAATAAATATGTTTTATTGATTTTTCTTGATTATGTAACACTCTTTAAATAATGAGTTGAAACCAAACGGCTTTTGATGTATAAAATTGAGTATAACAGGTATTCTTTGAAATGTTTAACAGTTTTTGGTAATTCTTTGGTGTTATAAGAAATAAACTTGAGAAATCTTTATTATATTTATGATTGTTACAAAATATTTTATATTATATAGTGGCAATGATAGATTCCATAGTAACATTACCTATAATTGGTTTAAAAAGCTTTAAATACACTTCATTAGGATCGCACCTGTAAAGAATATTCAGACATGAAATTATTTTCAAAAACCTCTTCTTATTTTCCGTGTTTCTTAGAAATAATGCCTCCATCGCCATTTCTTGCAAATATTCTGCCAAAAAAGCTTGTTTCGAATCTTCCAATAGTTCTGCTCGACATAGGAGAATATTTTCTAGTAGATCTTGTTCTAAAACTTCTAATTTCATGCTTCTTACGTAAGTTATTGGATATTTCAAAAACGAAAATATATTTTCATGCATTTCTTTACACTGGGCTAATCTCAATACGAAAATTGATGACCAAGTTTGTCCTAAAATTTTATTCTGTGAATTGTAACTCAGCAAACCAAACCCTGAGTTTTTTCTGAGGTGTTTAATAGTCATTAAGAAAATATGGGCTATTTTCTCGCTAGTTTGACTGTGTTGGGAGGTGAAAATATTTCTGTTGGTTATGCTGAAGATTTTTTCTTCGAAAAACTTTGGTTTTCTTGGTCCACGTTCTTCCTGGACAGCTGTGTAAAAATATGAAAATTGTTGTTGTATATAAATAAAGTATTTTTTATGTACCTACCTGATACGTTCATTTCTACTGCAAAGCACCTTTGAAGTCTACAGTAAGGACACCAGTTTCTTCTGGCTTTGTCTACTACGCATCTTCCATCTCCAGCTGTAATAAAATGTTGATAAAAATAATTAAATTTTAACTATTGATAATTAATCAAAAATATATATATAATATATGTATTGAAAATTTTATTTTTAAAAATATACCATACGAAAAAAAAAACGTAAGAGGTGGCTTGGAAATGAAGATCTCTGTCATTTTGTATGTAAAATTATATGGGGAATGTCATCGATCGATTTTTTCAACTGGCCGTTTTTTATTTCAGTTACCTATACGATATAATACACCATACGATTGAAAAAAAAACGGTGTCAAAGACATCGATTGTCATTTCCCAGTCGTCATAGGCCATTTTTTTTCAATCATACAACATTTTACCAGAAATATTACGAAAAAAATAACGTGGTGTACTATGTACGCATATTTGAAGTGAAACTTCTTATTAGCAACTATTAAATTGAAGGATTTGAAGAGCATGTTTGAAAAAGATATTGCTGTTTTAATATAAATATTATTTTCAATTTATTTCTATAATCTATACATTTTCTGTTCCTCAGTAGCATGCAAATTTTGTGGAACACTTACCACCCAAAATACACACTTTTATGCAAATGCCTAATAATGTTAACGCTTAAATTTTTATACGCTTATTTTTTAAACCCGAAGGTGTAAGGTATACTAAATTAAATAAATTCACTTAATTGCTACACTATACACAAATTGTTTCCATTTATTTTTGTCTCTTGCTAAACTTTTGGCTTCTGTTAATGTTAGTCCTCTATCCTGCACTATATTCTCTATTGTGTCATTCCATGTTTTAGTTGGTCTTCCCCTTGGTCTCTTTCCCTGCATTTTAGCTTCCCACACGCCTTTTACTGGTATGTCGTTGTTCATTCTGATCAAATGTCCATACCACCTAAGTTGACCTTGCTCAATTTTATTCAGGATCGAATCTACTTTTAGTTCCTCTCTTATAAAGCTGTTCCTTAGTCTATCTTTCCTTGTTACCCCAAGTACTCTTCGTAGATATAACAACTCCATTCTTTGGATCTTACTCTTGAATCTTTTAGTTAATACCCAACTTTCACAGCCAAAAATCAATGTCTTGTATACACTCATCTTCACTGCTCTCGAGATTTCTTTTTTATTTAAGAAACTTCTTAATGGTTTGATACAAGCGGGACGTGTTGCTAATTCTTTCGATGATTTCCGTCTCTTGTTCTCCTGTGCTACTGATGTTTACTCCCAATATTTGTATGAATCGACTTGTTCCAAATTGATGTCATTTATCTCTATATTCATATTGACTTCTGTTTTACCTAAAATCATAACTTTTGTTTTAATCTCATTGATTTTTAGATTTCTCTCTCCAAGAGCTTCCAGCCAGATTTCTAAATTTCTTTTCAGTTCTTTTTCGCTGTTAGCTAAAATTGCCAAGTCATCTGCAAATGCGCATTCTTTTATCCAAATTGGTTGTAGATTTCTATGACCGGCGTATACTCTTGTAACAGCTGCACTTGTACCCTTTATTATGTCATCCATAACTAAATTAAACAGAGCCGGGCTGAGGACTCCACCTTGTCTCAGTCCTTCATTTACGGTAAAAATATCCGAAACCACATTGTCTGTTCTTACATAGTTCCTTGTGTTTTTGTATAAACACATTATGGCACTCTTCATCTTTGAATGGACATTCCTTTTCTTTAGGCTATTGCACACGACTTGTCTAGGAACCCTATTGAAAGCTTTTTCGATATTTAGGAATGCTACATATATATTTTTCCCCGTTACTTTTATTCTTTCTGCCATTTGTTTAAGCGTGAATATATGGTCCTGTACACTTCTTCCCTTTCTGAAACCACTCTGTGCTTGATCGAGTAGTTCATCTGTGTCCCCCTTTAATCGTTGTTCCAGAATTCTTTCAAACTCCTTCGATGGTATGCTAAGCAAAGTTGATGCCTCTATAGTTTGCACATGTTGTTTTATCACCTTTCTTGAATATAGGCAAAATAATTCCAATTCCTAGTCTCGGGGTACCTCCTCTTCATTTATAATTTTATTGAGCAAATCAGTGAAAACAGTGACAGCACTTTCTCCAAAATTCTTCAACATTTCTCCTGTTATATTGTCATGACCCGCAGCTTTCCCCTTCTTCAGCATTTTTATTGCTTCGATTACTTCCGTTTCGTCAATTTTTCTATACGCCGCGCCGTTGTGTTAATATTACTTGCTAATTCATTTTCTTGCGAGTTAGTAATAACATCATCTGTGCATAATAACTTCTGGAAGTATTCTTTCCAGCATTTTATTATTTCTTGTTCTTTGGTGACTAAGTTTCCATTCGAGTCGCGTGTTTGTTTAACTGAACTTTGTTGATTGCCAGTTTTGAGGTTTTAAGAACATGGTAGAACAATTTCTGATTAGCGTGATAGTCGTTTTGCATTTTGTTCCCAAACTCTTCCCACGATTTGTTTTTAAAACAAAATTTTTAACCCCTCCCATACCCCCCTTACCAACCTCTTCGTAGAGATTATAAGATTGTACCGTGCTGTCCTGTAAATACTCTTTTCCAACGTTGTTTCTTGCACTTAACTTGCTCTTTTTAAATTCTTACTCCACCATACCGTCTGCTTTCTAGTTTTATTATCTCTACTTATTCCACATACTTCTTCGGCTATTATCAAATTGATGTTTTAAAAAGAGTCCACAAATATTCTACCCTCATTTGGTCTGTTTTTATATTGCATAATCTTTTTTTCAATCATGAATTGGTATTTTCTTGCCATATTCGTTTCATTCAGCCGATGTACCCTAATTCGGTTTAATTATTATTTATTGTTTAAATTTATTTAAGAAGAGAAAAATTTTGAACCTAACATTACAATTATTTTGTTGCAAATATTATTCTAATCTTAAATTGAAAACCGCGTTTCGCTAGCTACTGTAATTTTGGAGTTACGATTTTTTAAAATTTTAACCCCCTCCCATACCCCCTTCTTACCAACACCCCGCCCACCAAAAACTAATGGCCAGATTCTCAGGTGCACCTTTGAATAAGAAGACTAAGAAAGGAGCATATCAAAAATCTTAGGTACACCGCGATGGGCCTCAAATATGGCCGACTTAAATTCCGGTTTATCAGTGTCGTTCTAATTTTATTTAAAAAATGTAAAACTATGATGTAGACGTGGTGTAGACTCAATAATTTGTTGTTTTATTTTACGTTGTGAATAAATGTTGGTAGTTATTAAAATTGTTATAAAAATATATAATTCTAATAAAAATAGATAAGTTATAATAAGTATTTATTAACACAAACATCCGATATGCTACTGAAGCAGGTAAGTCAAATTAACGTATCTAAATTCTTTGACATCTAATCTTTGACAAGTAATAAATAAAAGTTAAAATGCAAGAAAAATATATAATTTAGTTAATTTAAGTGAATTTCATAAATGATAGGATTTACTACACGTATGTATATTATATAGTCACTTACTAGAGCGAAAAGTTGTTCCATTATCTACCGCACGCTACACAACCAACTATTTTAGAGTCTTTTTCGATAAATCGCGATAGTGTCACTGTTAATTTAAGTTCTGCCACAATTTCCATCTAGATTTACTACCTTTATACAACTATCAGTAGTAGAATAAATAATAAATAACATAAATAAGCTCCATAAAGACTGACAAATCCACAAAATTTCAAATCAAATTCAAATGTGTCAAATGAATCGTCAAACAGAACTGTCAAGGATCCCCACCCTAGAGAGCTTTTATGGTGCCTTTTCCGCCCACCATGCATGAATACATGGATAGCATTATGCTCCTTCCTTAGTCTTCTTATTCAAAGGGTGCCACAGTATTTTTGTGAAAATTTGGTTAAAATCGGTTTAGCGGTTTTTGAGTTATCGTGTTACAGACGGACGGACGGACAGACAGACAGACAGAGAGACACCATGAAAGAATTTTGTATTTAGGTCATTTATGACCCAAATAACTCATTTTGAGTGAAATTAAAAAACTGTCCATACCTATTGGTACGGTCGGCTAATAATAATTGTATGAAAAATAATTATACAATTATACAAAAATAATTACTTACAAATACAACTGTAAAATACGTTTTTTCGTATACTTCTTTTGAAGAAACATGAACAACCATCACAACAGTAAACTCCATAATGTTTACCATAGGATTTATCACCGCATACTTTACATGGTACAGGAGCAGGCAAGTTTCTACCTAAAAAATAATTGAATAAATACAAAAAATATATACAGGATCCGGCAGTAGTGCGTCGGACATCTGTAGCTCCTAGAATAAAAAACTTGAGAATTTTGTATAAGTGCAAACCTAAAGTATGTACCAAGATGCATTTCAGGAAAATATTTTAACTTCTATAGGGTGGCTCAAAAAAGTGTGAGTGGATCTGGATGATTTTTTTTAAATGGAACACCCTGTATATTATTGCATTTTTGGCTTCCTCTCAGATCACTTTACATAATCCTAAGATATGAGTAAATATATTTCGATTAGTTTCAGAGATATTAAAAAATAAATCAAAAATATAAATGTTTCAGCCCTTCTTAAAAAAATTATTAAAAATACAAGAACTGTTCTGAAATCAGAACAATCAATCTGAGAGCTAGATAATGAACATTTTTTGTATTTAAAGTATTTCAAAATTTTTAACAGTTTTGCAGATACACGCAGTATTATTTCATATGGCGCTTACAATGGTAAAATACGGGAGAAAAATCATTGGGTGGCTTTGATAAAAATTTTCTGTAGAAAATGCCATATGAAATATAAAACCGCGAATATCTGCAAAACCGTCAAAACTTTTAAAATACTCTAAATGCAAAAAATGTTCATTTTTTAATTCTCCATCTATTGACAAAATAATATAGAGGGTGTTCCATTTAAAAAAAAAACGGAGAAAAATTATTTTATATTTTAGAAAGTTTGGCATAAAATTCTGAGCATCCTGTAAGATTTACGATTTCCATATTTATAGCAAAGTAAGTACAGACCATCTAAAGTAAATACCTATTATAGTTTTGATTTCAGGACAGTTCTTGTATAATTAATAATTTTTTTAAGAAATGCTGAAAAATATAAATTTTTTATTTATTTATTAATATCTCTGAAACTATCGAAATATGTTAACTCATATCTTAGGATTAAGTAAAGTGATCTGAAAGGAAGCCAAAAATGTAATAATATACAGGGTGTTCCGTTTAAAAAAATCATTCCGATCCACTCACACTTTTTTGAGCCACCCTATAAAAGTTAAAATATTTTCCCGAAATACATCCTCGTACATACTTTGGGTTTACACTTAAACAACATTCTCAAGTTTTTTATTCTAGGAGCTACAAATCCCGACGCACTATTGCCAGACCCTGTATATTATGTTAAGAATTAATTCAAACCTGTCTTACCCATTTTTTAAGAACTGAAACTCTTAAATATGTAGAGCGAATTGAACTGAACGTGTAAATATGATCAATCCCTTCTTTTTATACCTTTTGAGGGTGACGATAGATATCTGTTGAGCAATAATTGACAGGTTAAGTCTATTGTTAGAGTGTCCACGCTTTTTGAGAGTGTCTATCGAGTAAGACCGCGTATAGCAAAGACTAGATTTATTTTCTTTTTAATGTTATATTTTACCTCAGCGGCGTGCCAGTCATAACTCAATTAAATAAGATTTATAAAAAAATGTGCATCGGTAAATAATAACTTGCGCATTTATAAAATATTTTGTGCATTTTTTATAACTTTATTATACAGGGTAAGTCTTAAATAAGTGGAAATATTTTTAGGGGTGGTATATTTCTTACTTTTGAAAAACAGTAAAAAGAAAATCTGTTTCTTTTATCGAGATCTACGAGCCCTTCAAATATTTGCACCTATTTAAGACTCTCCTGTGTTTTTGAAAATCAAGAAACTTTTTGATCTTGAAATTCGAAGACAGTCGCAGTTATGAAAGTTTGCTTACTATAATAAACATAAAGGTGTATGTATAGACTCTTATTATTAGAATATTTTTACCCAAAATTATACAAGCAAAATGTAAACAAACCGTTTGCTTATGTACAGAGGTTTCCATTTTCGTATGTTTGACGGGGTATCTCGTTTATGAGTAGAGATACAAAGATACGGTTTTTATATTATTGTGCCACATATTTATAAAACACGATGGAAAACATCTGGTAAAATTAATATACAGACCGGACCACCGTAGTAGTAACATAGGCAGAACCGGACGAATTTGCGTATACCCGTCCGCCGGATAAAAAGCAGGCGAAAAAATGCGATAAAATAAAAATAGGTAGATACGTGATAAGAATGTTTCAGAATTTGTATTTATTCGTGTTTTAATAGCCTAAACGAATACATAGATTCTCGCGACAGTTCTCGTGTAAAATTTATTTTTTAAGTAAAATAATGAATGTTTACGAAGTTCGTGAGAAAATTCAAATTGTAAAATGGTATTTCCAAAATAGGTCTTATCGGAATATACAAACAATTTTTCCACAAACTTTTGTAAACAGGCCAATTCCATCTTTACCTACTGTATCAAGGGTTATTAATAATTTTGAAACACATGAGTGCGTGTTCCCACAAAACAAAAAAGCCTGATGTGTTGATTAATGAAGAACAGGAGTTAAAGCAAGTGTTCATTTGTGCTACCGCGGATCAAAATCCCACGTTTTCAAGTAATCAAATTGCTGAGGTGGTTGTCCTGCGCACAATGCCCGTATTGTTCAAGAATATTTGAACAATACTTTTCCCAACCGTTTAATTAGTAAACATGGAACTATTTTGTGGCCCGCTAGATCACCAGATCTTTCTCCCAATGATTTATTTTTGTGGGGTTATGTAAAATCCAAAATGTATGGTCATAATAGGGCTAATAATCTGGATGAGCTTCAAGTAAAAATACGAGGGGCTTTCCAAACTATTAGCCCTAATATGTTAGCCAATGTCAGACGGGGATTTTACGACCGCCTTCTGTCTAGCACAAGAAGATGGTCTTTTTGAACACTTGTTATAACTTTTTCTTATTTAGAGTAATATTTTAGTTTTTTTTTGGGGTTAGAGAATTTATTTATTTTTAGTTTTGGCTTGTAAACACACTCAAATAATAAATATTTAAGTATTTTCATTTTAAATGTTACCTTAAGTGAAGGCAAACACTTAAAATGAAAATAATAAATACTCGGCACTCCTCGCGTCGTATTCCTAGTCTGTCACGACCGACCCGTCCAAGCACAACTGCAACTGCATACTGCCTGACCATCTCGAGTACGAACGCAAAACGGGTAAACGTAAATTCGTCCGGCAACTTGCTATGTTACTAGTAGCCTGGTCTTCTCTGTATACATAAATTAATAATAATAAATAACATCTACTTTTTAAAACTAGGTTTATGTGTTAAAAAGTTAAAAAAATGAATTTTTACCTTGTTTATGAAAATATATAAATATACAGTATATTATATTGTTGATATCTCATAACAAGTCAAATAAAATAAAAATAATATACAGGGTGTCCCATTAAAAAAACAGTTATGCCACTGGTTTCTGCATAAAAATAATCTACGGTTCTCAGTTTTCACCTTTTCGAAGTTACAAGATAATCAAGATACAAAGGTGTCAAAATATGCAACATTTTTAAATTCGCCTTGTATTTCATAAATCAAGGGGTCTAGGACAAATCTGTGTGTAGCATCTTTAGTTTAATAAATAAGTAGCTCAGAGATTAAGCATAGTTGTATCTCTACTCATAAACGAGAATCCTCATAAAACACACCATGAAAAAAAAAATAAAAATATAAAAAAAAATAGATTCTTCCCCACAATTTTAATCGAAATATTTATTAGAACTACTTACCAGTCTTATTTTCCATTTAGTTGATCCACGAGTCGCTACTGATCGTAACAAACTGCTTAACGGCGGCCTTTGACCAACACTTCAACCCCTGTCTTCCTGCTTTTATATTTCCCTTGTTATTATTTAATCTTTCCGTGCCCTTTCAATACATTTCTGGTAAAGTGATCGTTAGCACTTCGTAATAACAAATCCAGGTTGACGTCTAGAATCAACAAAATTATACTCCTATTTTTTGTTATTTGATTTTAACTAAAATACATTTCCGAGTTTTTTTATTTGCTACAATAATATTGAATAATATAGAAAGTTAAATATCTTACTATACTATAACCTCTCTACTCTGAATCTCTAATACCATATGATCGAAAAAAAAAAACGGCGTCAAACACTGCTGGGAAATGACAATCGATCATAATTTTGGAGAGGTCAAGCCCTAAACGACATTTACTTGACCCGTACTCTATAATAGCCAACTACACTTCTGTCCCATTTATGATATTTTTTATCTTAGAATAAATCAAGACGGTGTCTAAAAATGTTGCTTACTTTTAAACACCAGTATTCTAAAAACTAAACTAACAACTAGATTGTAGATTTTATGAGAGGAGAAAGTTAATCACCGCGAATATAGATCTAGTATATCCCCCTTTCTTGAGTTATAACTCATTATACCGGGTGCGTCTCAAAAGTGGCTCACCCCCTATAACTTTTTTATTTTTTCAGATAAAACAACGAGATTTGGTATGTTAGTATGTGAAATAAATTGGGATTGATTGACGTATTCAATTGTCTTCGGTTACTTCCGGTTTCACCGGAAATGACTACAACTTTTGATTTTTAAATGGCACCCTCGGTATTTTTTTACTTTATTCGATAGAAAATGACACTCTGAATCGAATGACATATCATATGTCAATTTTTGATATAGTCACTTAAAAACAAATTCTATTTTAAATTTCAATCTAGAGTGCCGTGGCTGTGTTAAAAACACTAATTTTTAATCAGGGAGCCTTGGAAAAATAGATTTGATCGTCTAATTTTTTAGTGTCTTGTCCTGGCCGGTTAAAAGATGCCCAAATCGTATTTTTAATCATATCTCAATTTTTTCAAATGGAACGAGGGTGGCTTATTAGCATATTTGGAAAAAGCATTTTTTTACGAATAATTTGATACCACACACTTGGTATTTTGAGGCAAATTGTCGTTATGAACCGCATGTTACAATTTGAAATAAACCATATGCCAAAATGTCAAAAGTTGACATATGATATGTCATTCGATTCAGAGTGTCATTTTCTATCGAATAAAGTAAAAAAATGCCGAGGGTGCCATTTAAAAATCAAAAGTTGTAGTCATTTCCGGTGAAACCGGAAGTGACCGAAAACAATTGAATACGTCAATCAATCCCAATTTATGTCATATACTAACATTCCGAATATCGTTTTTTTATCTGAAAAAATAAAAAAAGTTATAGGGGTGAGCCACTTTTGAGACGCACCTGGTATAGTCACAATAATCTCAGGACTTTGACAAAAACCAGATCTAAGACGGTGTTACATAGGTTAGTTCTCCATCTCCGATATTAGTCGTATAGTATTTCCGAAGTCAATTGGAATTATGTACTGAGACACTTCATGCCTTTGTCCGGACGATGCCAACAAAGGCACACTGACAAAGACAGTGTCGAAATTAAGAGTCCCAATCTATTTCAAGACTGACTTCAGATAAACTATACCAAAGTTTATATAGTACGAATGGTTGTCGTTTTTGGCGCACTAATTGATGAGGAGTTCTGGCGTTTCCCCACAGAATAAGCATTTGCAGTACCTAAACTAAGTAACTGGAGGTCAAACGCACTGACGGCCAGGTCTCAACGACCAGCCAACGGCCAGGACGCTAGTGTGGGCTGTATCATTTGATTTAATGGTATGGTGTCGCAGCGACCAAGCTGCGGCCGCTTGAGCCGGGTTCACATATGTAGCACTCTATTGTATCAGGATCATGTATCACGTATCAAGAGCTTGTATCGTAAGTATGGACGTTTATTTGGGCTGTGTCGAGTGAATATGCATATCGTGCCAAAGTAAGCGTCCATACTTATAAAATTCATATGTATCACCGTACAAGCGTGCGTATCAGTGTATGTGGACGGTACAACAAATCAACTTGTATCGTCGTATCATGTTCATCAATTCTTGTCAGCGAACCCTCGATGCCCCTTTGATGATCGGAGAAAAACCGCCTCAAGACGGGTCACGAGGTATCAAGTCAATTATATCGTTATACTGTATGGGTCCACATATGTAGCATCTTCGTGTATCATATCTCCGTCGCGTTGCACCAACATGTTTCATGATCGCTAGTTTGGACGCCGAATTAACGCGATCATATGGTACACCTTTGTGATACCGTATCTGATACATGCCAATCCGAATTTTGGCGCGTATCTTAACACTGCGTATCGGATACACGTATCACGATCTGTCATTTGGACGTGTTTTGATACAGTATAACGATATAATTGACTTGCTACGCCGTGACCCGTCTTGAGGCGGTTTTTCTCCGATCATCAAAGGGGCATTGAGGGTTCGCTGAGAAGAATTGATGAGCATGATACGACGATACAAGGTGATTTGTTGTACCGTCCATATACAATGATACGCACGCTTGTACGCTGGTACGTATGAATTTTATAATTATGGACGCTTACTTTGGCACGATATGCATATTCAGTCGATGTAGCCCAAATAAACGTCCATACTTACGATACAAGCTCTTGATACGTGATACATGATCCTGATACAATAGAGTGCTACATATGTGGACCCGGCTTAATACGTGTATCCGATACGCAGTGTTAAGATACGCGCCAAAATTCGATACGGTATCACAAAGGTGTACCATATGATCGCGTTAATTCGGCGTCCAAACTAGTCATCATGATATATGTTGTTGCAACGCGACGGAGATATGATACACCAAGATGCTACATATGTGGACCCGGCCTTGGGCGTGGACGTTAGTGCGCGTTGTATCATTTGATTGGTGGTCGTTGGCTTTGTTTGGTTAAATAATAATGTTGGCCGTCAGTGCGTTCAACCGTTCTTGTATCATAAGTGCGTTCGAACTCTATAGCGCTTTCAGATGGAGCGGAGCGTCCGCTCTGTTGCAGCTTGTTTTTTCAAGATAGCTGTCAAACGAAATCATCCGGACGGAGCATACGTGACCCATGTGAAATTGTTCATTTAAACTCATGGAACTCGCGGACGCTCCGCTCCATCTGAAAGCGCTGTAAGACATCTTTCTGATCTGGGGGATGTGTATAAAAAGTAAATTAAAATAGGGTGTATTAATTAAACAAGGATGATGTGGCAAAAACATTTATTTTTACAATGGCATTTCTAACAACTTCTAATTATTTTACGTGATTATATATACAAATACTGCAAAATTCTATTGTATATTTACAATTACAATTGAATGTATTATAAATACTAATTAATATGTAAAAATGTACATATTCAACGTTATAGTCTGTCTCGCGAGAGAATGCCTGACAGTGACAGTCATTTATTGGATGTCGTCTGTCAAAATTTTCACTGATTCGTTGGGCGGACTTCACTATTTAAGATTTTAGATCTGATAATAACGTACTTAGAAAATGTCGAGACAATTAAATTACAGGATGTCCTCGGATTGTCTTTACCAGTGGAAAATTTTTTATTTTTGGCATTTTGAGAAAAATGCATTCATCATAAAAAATTTTGCTTGTTCTAAAATGATTAATCACGTTTATACTTTTCCAAATTTCCACACCGTTTTAGAGAAAATTCGAAAAAAAACATGAAAATATATAGTTGAATTTTTGTAAATCCTAAAAATAAAAAGGCGTTTCTATGGTAATATAATTTCGATTTCATTCTTTGATAGATTATTATTAATTTTGATTAACGTTATATATATTTTTTCTTTGCTGTTGTTAAAGTATCACATTTTGTAGCATTGAACTAAATAAATTTTGTGCTTCTTTAATATTTTAAAACAGCAAAAAAGATGACGTTTATTAAAATTCTGTCAACAACAATCTATGAAAGAATGAAAACGAAATTATATTACTATAGAAACGCGTTTTGATTTTTAGGACTTCACACTTTTCTTCTTTCAAATATTCAGCCATATTTTCATGTTTTTTCTAATTTTCTCTTAAACGGTATGGAAATTTGGAAAAGTATAAACCGGATTAACTATTTTAGAACAAGCAAAATTTTTTACGAAGAATGCATTTTTCTCAAAATGTCAATAATAAAAAAGTTTTTTTTCCTCTTGTAAAGACCGTCCGGGAACATACTGTATAATTCGAGTTTTTAAACTTGTACAAATTTTGAGATTTTGTATATTTGATTATATACTCTTTAGTATCACACAATTTGAATAAAAACACATTTATATTTCACTATTTATAAATATTATACACAAAAATCAATATAGAATTACTCAATGTGAGTTAAGCCAATATAGTAAGCGTTCATACAATGTAGAAATAACCAGAATTTTGATCAAAAATTCTGTTTGTTCCTACCTTAAATAATTTTAGTGTTTATAACAGTCTTTTTTACAGGAAAGCGTACAATGTATACCTAAATGTGCTTAGGTATATTCAGAAATAAATATTCTGAAAATGACTCATAAATAAATTATATATTTATTCTATATACTGTATGAGCGAATAAAAACGGGGTTACAGTGTAGGCGTACAACATAATGATTGATCATAAAAACAATTTAGTAGGTAGGTAGTATGTACAGGGACATCATTTTAAGTGTCTCACTCGATTTATAATTTTCCTGTTTGGTATTTAAAGATAGTAGAAAGATTTCCTAATGTAATTTTTCGCGAGGATGCCGATTCTCTACACCAAAATTTTTTAAAACGTCAATTTTGACAGATACGACGCCATCTTGATTTTTTTTAAATGGAAACCCCCACATATTTTAGCATGGTCCGGTAGACATATTTTAGCTAATTTCAAAAATATATAGTTTAGTATACTTTGCACTTACTGTTTTCGATATACAGTGGATTTAAAAATGAATTGTTCCAGAATCATTTTTAAGTGTCTCACCTCCAATTTAAAATTTTCCTCTTCTCTATTTTAAGATAGTAAAAAGATATTTCATCGTAATTTTTTTCGAGGATGCCGATTTTTCTACATTGTAATTTTTGTAACGTCAATTTTGGCAGATACGACGACATATCTCTTGATTTTTTAAATGGAAACCACCACATATTTTAAGATGGTCTGGTAGACATATTTTAGATAATTCATAAAATATATAGTTTAGTATACTTTACTTACCGTTTTCGATATGCTTAGTGGATTTAAAAATGAATTGTTCCAGAATCATTTTAAGTGTCTCATCAATTTAAAATTTCCTCTTCTCTCTTTTAAGATAGTAAAAAGATATTTCAATGTGATTTTCGCGAGATGATTTTCTACATTAAAATTTTTAAACGTCAATTTTGGCAGATATGACGTATCATCTTGATTTTTTAAATGGAAACCCCATCAAATTTTAACGACCGCCCGGTAGACAACTTTTACCTAATTTCAAATATATAGTTTAGTATATTTTGCACTCTACCGTTTTCGATATACAGTGGATTTAAAAATGAATTGTTCCAGAATCATTTTAAGATGGCGTCGTATTGTCAAAATTGACGTTGTAAAAAATTTTAATGTAGAAAATCGGCATCCTCGCGAAAAATTACATTAAAATATCTTTTTACTATCTTAAAATAGAAAAGAGGAAAATTTTAAATTGGATGAGACACTTAAAATGATTCTGGAACAATTCATTTTTAAATTCACTGTATATCGAAAACGGTAAGTGCAAAGTATACTAAACTATATATTTTTGAAATTAGCTAAAATATGTCTACCGGACCATGCTAAAATATGTGGAGGTTTCCATTTAAAAAAAATCAAGATGGCGTCGTATCTGTCAAAATTGACGTTGTAAAAAATTTTAATGTAGAAAATCGGCATCCTCGCGAAAAATTACATTAAAATATTTTTTTACTATCTTAAAATAGAAAAGAGGAAAATTTTAAATTGGATGAGACACTTAAAATGATTCTGGAACAATTCATTTTTAAATCCACTGTATATCGAAAACGGTAAGAGCAAAGTATACTAAACTATATATTTTTGAAATTAGCTAAAATATGTCTACCGGAGCATGCTAAAATATGTGGGGGTTTCCATTTAAAAAAAATCAAGATGGCGTCGTATCTGTCAAAATTGACGTTTTAAAAAATTTTGGTGTAGAGAATCGGCATCCCCGCGAAAAATTACATAAGAAAATCTTTCTATTATCTTTAAATACCAAACAGGAAAATTATAAAGCGAGTGAGACACTTAAAATGATGTCCCTGTACCTATACCTATACCGTGAAATGAAAAAGTTCTGGCTTTTGACAGTTAAAAATAATCTACTGTACTTAATAAAAATAGCTGATATCTGCTATAGTCAGATGTCAATAGGGAAATTAAAACAACTTTCGTTGCACGTCATCAATGACACCATGAGTCGTCTTATGGAGTTTGCTGGTGGTCGTATTATGATGTGCAACGAAAGTTATTTTAATTTCTCATATAGTACACAGTAATATTCTTATTACAGAGTAGTATACATACACAGCAGTATACAAACATATAACTGACATCTGCTATAGCAGATGTCAATTATGTGTATGCATATGCATGTCATCAGGAATATCTATAATTAGATTTTCAAAGATTCTTAACATTTTCCATATTCTAGTTTGAAGATGCTGTGATTGTAAAGAATTTCGGACATAGTATATATTATAATTCGACTTGAAATGTTATGTAATGTAAATTATATGTTATGTAACACCTACTTTGACGTCGTTTTTATCTGATCACACGACATCATAAATAGTGTGTATTAAAAAAAAGATTTGGTTAACCAATAAATAATTATTTTTTAATACGCACTTGACACTATCTATTAATGTACATATAAAACTAATATACCTGTGGACATTCATTTAAATGACACAAATATCCAGACTTTCTATACAAGACTGTTCAATATGTATATTTTTCGATAACTTTGAAGGTATATTTTATATATATACAGAGTGTTTCAAATTCGACTTCCACCATTGGGCTGTCGGAAACGGTAAGTGAAACAAAGTGGCTCAAATTGGAGAAAGTTAGCTATCTATATATATAGAGCTTATTTCCAAAAATATGAAAAAATTGAAATTTCCTGTTTTCGTTTATATTTTAAGAGTTTATTTTAAAGGGAATGTCTATAAACTTATTCTTAAAGAATTTTTTTTCAGAAAAACGAAACCCCTTAAATGAGTTTGACGTCGCCAAAAGATGAAACGATCAGGGTTGGCATGATTTAAATCAAATGATTTAAATCATGATTTAAATCACGATTTAAATCAAGTGATTTTTTTTAATTTTAATCATGTGATTTAAATAAAAAAAAATATTTTATTGAAACGTTATAATAAATCAAAAAATAACTGTTAAAGTTCTAAAAATGGGTCCTAGAAAACTATAAAAATTATTTCTGTATCAGATATAACAGATAATAAATCGAAAAATAATTGTAAATGTTTTAAAACTATATAAAAATATCTATTCATCAATTTAAATGTTGGACCGATTTTTGAAGTAATTTCGTGAGAATCCATTAGACCTCTAAACGCAGGGATTTATTTTAAAATTTATGTATTAAGTGACAAAAATTCGCTGCTCGAATACATATCATTCGCAAAGTCTAGAGCAGAACTATATAGGTTCTTCTAATATAGAGACTATATTATATCTTCATTCCCGAGAATCTAGAATCGTTGTCAGAGAATATGTTGGTTTATTTTTTTTTGAAACGGTTGTATGTTTCCAAATTCTTACCGAAATTTTGATCTGCAGTTAAGTACTTTACACGTTGGCATTCGATAATACATCATTCTCGATTTAAGACTATTTTCGAATAATAGTGTATTGTTTTATTAGGAGTAAAAAATTATACTTTTTTTGACGATGCTGTACATTTGAAGGACCATCGTAAAGCTATTCCGACTAGAGTGAGGTACAAAAAGTACATTTTTACTCTGAATAGAACATTTTTTTTAATCAATTTCAAACATTGCAAATAATATAAGCAGTAATCGAGCAACAATTATTTGTACTATCGTTGAATTTGACACTTAATATCAGTTTAATAATATATTTTTGTATTTTTGTGCTTAAGCGTAACAGTCCTTTACTTTTATGCCTAGGCGTTAAAATGACAAAAATTAATACTTTTGAGACGTCTGAAAAAAAATCCTTTTGATCTGAAGCGAGCTACTTTTTTGCGGAATATATTGGTGACTGATGTGGAAAAATGACACGCGCCGTAGAATTGTTGTTATCGGTATCGGACAGAGTTATAAAGATTTAGCCATTTAGGATAGGACTTTAATTGGAAATAAGTTCTAGGTCATTTGGAAATCCGATTTAAATATTGTTTTGAATTAAAATCAAAAAAATCTGATTTAAATCAAAAAAATCTGATTTTTTTGATTTTTTTAAAAATCATGATTTTTTCCAACCCTGGAAACGATAAACACATTTCTTTGAGAATGTATTTTTATTTTTTTCCAACTGTTAAAATAAACTCGTTTTTGATGCAAATTGTAGTTGGTTGTGATAGAACTTTGATCTCAAAAATCGAAATATATTTTTTAAATATTTTAAATTTTTGAGATAAAATATTAAAATAATTATAATTGCCATCGAAAAACCCTATTAGATTTTTTTACATGTATTTTCATATTAATTAATCATGTCAAAAATTAAATTTGGTGATATTTGTAAAATGTTGGACTCATATTCATTTTTTTAGCGCTCTGTATTTGCGCGGCCGAAGTTTTTAGCAAAATTTTCACGACGTTTTGGATTGCGGCGTTGCGAAAGGATGAAATTAACCGTAGTCTGTGGGGAGCTTTAGATTTTGAAAATTGATTTCATTATAGTATATATACTTTATCTGAATATCTATGTCATCTATTTTTTTACAGAGTATTTTTGTTTTAAGACATACTTGCGATTATTAGTTCCTCTGTACACAAATTTACAAATTTTGCGATTGCACTTAAAAAATCACTGTCGAACCAACTCGAAACTAGTATTTCGCGTAGAGCTATGAAGATGCCATTAGTTTTGCAGCGGCCGTCACATGGTGTTGGTGATGGTAAGCCAGTTCGTTGTTGGTTGTTGCTGAAGGGTTCGGGAACCCGAAAATTTGCTGATAAGGGTAGGATGGTTGGTTTTGCAAGCAACTGAAACAAAAAGTGAACAGTGATTTAGCTCTTGAGGGGAGATCCACCTATTCAGGAATGTTTTTTTGTCTTTCTTATATCTTGGATGTAGTAATGCTTCTTTTCTCGGTAGAATTCTCGGTAAAGAAACTAAAAAAAAACATTCCTGAAGAAGCACATTATATTAAATGCGAAACGTCGTGTAACGAAAGATTTTTGTTTTAATTGGTCCTAGCCACAACACCCAAGAAACAACAAATAAAATTACAGTGCTTTAAGCCCTTATTAGATACAAACCTCGAAATTCATTTACTGTGAACGAATTTTTATAAAACTTTTTCCAATGTATTGTTAATAAGATATATTACAAAGTTTACCTATTTAAATTCGTTGCTTTGACTTCAGTATTTAAATAAACACACACATATACAAATGCATACATACAAGATGGCTCCGTTTTCCGGAAAAGCTCTGTATCAGGATTCCTATTTGAGATTTTCACTCCAAACCTTTTACAAAGTATATGTTTAATGGTAGTTCACATTTCAAAAATATTTTTATAGATATACAGGGTGAGTCAAATATATATCATTTACTTATATTCGAGTGTAGTGAATTTGCTATAAAATTCTGGTTCCAAAAATACCTTAATACCATAGAGTATATTAAATGGTCTTTGAATTATGACCACGTCCATGAGGACGTCAATATAGACGTCCAGGAACCTTCGTATGAGAACTTCTAATCGAGACAATCGACTTATTGTAAGTTTATCGCTAAGAAACCGCCGTTTGCCAGCTTTTCAAATTGATAATGAATTGCACTTAAGAACCGTACATATTAACTAACGGACTACAAGAAGAAGATTAAATGAAGCAAATCTTATGTCAAGAAGGCCTGCTTCGGGACCAGAACTTACTAGATGTGTTGACTAGGCCCAAAAGCAAAGGCATGGTCTTAATGTAAAAATTACGAAAAATGTTAGTGCCTTCTTTAAAACCGAATATTTCCAACAAAAATAAAATTAATGTGATGAACCAAAAAACAAACCATCGAGATTTTTAAATTTCTTGCTGTTTTAACATATTTCACAGGGTGTTTCAAACTTTCATCAAAAATATCAACATTTTGTTTTCCCTCGTATAATTAACAGATGGGGAGTTTCATTTTTAATTTAGAAAAAGATACTAAGAAGTCAAATAATTTGGCAACACACTGCTTAAAAAATCATCAAAATCGGCCAATTAAAATAAAATATATTAACATTTAAAATACATCAAAGTTTTAAGGTGCCCATTTTTCCTGCCGGTGAATGTATTTCAAAGACTATACATTTTAGTCATATAATTTTCTAATGAAACAAGCCTTTATTTTTTTACTAGAATCCAAAAATCAATTAATATATAGGGTGTTCCATTACAAAAAACATAACTTTGATGTGTAACTTTTTTTGGGGACACCCTGTAGAACTCTACATAATTTTAGGAAATACTTTAAATTGACTTACATAAGCTCAGAAAATTTCACTTCAATACAAACTTTTGTTCTCCTTGCAAAAACCGCGTCGCATATGACGCGCCACCCTGTATCATTCGATTTCAATCAAAATTTCAATGATTAGAATATAAGCAGAATAGGTGCATGATATGCATTAGATTTATTTATTTCAGTAAATTTACTTAGAAAAAGAATTAAAAAAATAAAAATATTAAGAAGGAAATAATTAAGAATTTACTAAAATTACTTAAATAAAAAATTAAAAGCAACGAAAAAAAATGGGTAAACATTTTAGTATTTTATCTGATTGAAATCTGATACAGTCTGATTGAAATTCAAATTTATTTAAAATAATTTATTAACTAGATGTAATTAATTAATATATGGGCGGAAATAAAGGTTGTATATTTAATTAGTATATTATTTTACAAAGATTTAATCTTTTTGTAAAAAGAATGGGCTAGTAAGATTATCGGTTTCAGCATCTGTACATTTGCTGTTTAAAAAAAATATCTGAAATGTCAATATTCCATGGGTATATTGATAAATGAGGTCCAAAATATAAGAAAATACATTTTGGCTCTAGAAAAAAATACATTTTGCAGACCCACTGTTATTAAGAAAAATATTTTTAAAATTTCCTCACCTGTATGCATCGTAGCCAGGTTCACTTTTGATTCCGCTCGTACTTGTTGCCGGCAACAACGAGGTCTGGCCCAAATAAGGCCTTTCTGTCGAAAATTGTGACTTCTCTGTATGTCCATTGTGATTATTGTTTTGCGATGGACAGGAACTCTGATTTTGCGTTTGGTGCGGGTGATGAGTGGGCGAATGGTGAACTAAAGTTGACGTTTTCGGTTCTGTAATTAAGAGAGTAAATTCTATAGACTGAAAGGAAAAATGCAATCACGGTACTACCCAAAAACATCTAACTTAAAGGTGACAAAACTATATTTTTTTTCCCGTTCAAACAGTGGCGGATATAGGGGGAGGGCCCATGGGGCCCGGCCTCCCCTAAAGTCTGTGAATTGTGTAAAATATTATTCTTTTGGGTTAAAAATGGCGTCCTAAAAGCATAATCTACATTGCTTTTCATTTTGGCCCCCCCCTAAAACAAATTCCCGTATCCGCCCCTGCGTTCAAAGATCGTTTTCAACACAAATCGACAATGCCAAATTTCTGCGGATTATACATTATATTTAGGGCTTGTGTTTGAAAACGAAGTATTTTATTATTGTCATTGGTTTTTGGAATACCTATAGAAACGGCGCGGCGTACTAAATAAATGTCTAGGTATATAATTTTAGTAAAAAAATACGTAGATTATACTTTATCATTAGGGAAGTAACTGTGACAACGCTGCTTCATGAAGACTGTATGGTTTCTATACGATGTACAATCACAGTACAAGTAGATATTCAATAAAGAGCTTAATATTCATCAATATAATCTAGTGGCGCCCTCTGTACTATAGCGGGGGAGCAATATTCGAGTCACAGGGTAAGAAGAATCGATATACCTACTGCACGCATCCCTTGTTGTAAAATGCTTGTAATAAAAGAAGTATTAGAAGTGAATCGATAATTGGTAGATTCCTGTAATAAGACTTTGGTAGTTATTGTGATAGCATTTAAGATGCCACTGTGTGATCTAATATATAACAATTTTTAATAAATTAATTCTTTACTACAAAATAATAAAGTTAAATATTAAATATTACAGATAATATTTTTTTGCGGAAATTATGTATTGGTACTTTCGAATATATCTATAGTTATATTATGTAGGTAATCAATCGTTTTGGTTTAAACTTTAATCTATAAATCATAGTTTTTTTCTACTTTTACCCATAATGGCCATAATATAACAAGATATACAGGATGTTTCAAAAAACATGTGCCATCTCTCGTGTGAGATTCCTCACGTAAAAATAAGATTTATTTTTTATACCAACACAGTGGCGTGTCGTATTGGGGGCACGGGGGGGGCGATTACCCCCTCCGCCCTTAGCTCTGACTGAGTGATGCGCCCTAGTAAAATCGCAACCTCAACATAGCTCGCCTACCCCGCCCTTTTACCCACGACACGCTACTGTCAACATATAGGTCCGATTCGGCAATTGTTTCGTAACTACATTTTGTTCAGTATTTACATAATTTATTAATTTTATTTTATTCAGATAAAGTTGCGTTTATAAAGGAGACTGAAATCGACAAAATATCAAGAGACAACTTTTAATCGGCGTTAAATGGTCTACAGAATTTTGCTAACAAGAAAAAAAAGTCAGTGGCGCACACGTTTTTTAGAAAAATATTTCTGTGATAAACCACATGCACGTTCCTGGTGAATTTGTCGACACTTTTTTAGCATTAAAATGTGTGGTATTTATAGTAACTTTTACCCTCAAAATTTTATTCGAATCGATAAAAGCAGAAGAAGATTGATTTTTGATTTTAAGAAAAGTGTGATAAATAAAAAAATGAAGAATTTAATACCCCTGTACCTACGAAACAAACAGAATCGGACCTAAGTGTGTTGATAAAACAAAGAAGTAGATATTTTGATTTACACCCTTTATTATTATCTATAGGTCCACATGAACAACATATCTACATAAATTTTCACAAGAATCACATATTTAAACTTTATGGTCAAATAAAACTAAAGAGGTGATATATATTATTTTATCCCTCTTGTAATAAAAGAATGTGAAAAGCAGGTATAAAAATGTATAATTCCTTACGCGATTAATAATATACACACACAGCTTTACGGCTTTAAATAATTATTAACTCCAATTATTTCACTCTCCTTAATCTGCTCAAACGAACGATCGAGAGAAAAAAAAACGTGAAAACTTAAAGCCTTTTCTGAACCACCGGCTCATTTTCAAGCTCATCAATCTTAACCTCTCCACCGTCCGTTGGCTCCACCTACCTTCCACGGGGGCGGAGTTACTGTCCTCCCTCTCCGACGCCGTTCCACCTCCATTGGACGCACCCGTACCCCCACCACCGTTGCCAGTGCCGCCGCTCTGCGTTTTTTTCGGCTTGCGCTTGCGCGTCTGGATGCCGTCCTTTCGCATGGCTAAAGGCCGGTTCACGCCGTGCAGCTTGAAGTAGAGACCGCACGCGTTGCACACGGGTTCGCCGTCGTTGTTGCGCCGCCAGAGGGTGGTGGTGCGCGTGCCGCAGTTGGTGCAGCACAGGCCTAAGCGTCGAGTTGCTGTCTGAAATAGATATAGAGATGTGTTGTTAAGCCTCATTTAGAACATAAAAATTATTAGTTTCAATTATACTGTATACTAGGGTGAGCCAAAAAAACTAACTTATTGAATTTATGGATTAAAATTAGTGATGGGAATAATCGAATTATTTTCACCATCGAATAATTAGTAATAATTCATATTTCACAATCGAATTAATAATTCGAATTATTTAGTAGTATTATAAATTTAACCTAAAAATAAATTCGTCCCAGCTAGTGCTCGTCTAGGGGCTATTTTAAACAAATCTGAACCATTGCCATGCATATATTCTATCACTGAATAAAAAATAAAAAAAATATTCTTTATTCAATGTATTCTATTAACTGTGCCGAAGCCGTTTAATAAATTAAACCATAATTTAAAGTTTTAAATTTAAAAGTGCCGAGTTTATGATTGTTTCAATTCCTATTGAAAAGCTCATATCTAAAATAAAAGCTTCTTCTAAAACGATATAAGTATGTCCTTGTTTACGTGCGGTTCGTATTTCTTTTTATTTTATCAGTTGCAATCCATAATTATTTAGATAAAAGAAGAAAATTAATTTTAGTGTTCGGTGAAATTTGGGTGAGATGGAAATGAACCAAATAATAGTAATATTCTTTCGTTCTGAACGAAATGAAAATTTTCACTTAAACTGATTTATTCCTACGTGGTATAGGAAATAACAATGATTTCTGGTTTTTTCTATATCGGATCGTTCCTTTCTTTGTCGATTCCCTTTATAAATCAGTTTAAGTGAAAATTTTCAGTTCGTTCCGAACGAAAGAATACCACTAATAGTACTATACTAATTACTAATATTCGTATTCGTCCATAAGAGGTTATGTTTTATGTTCATTTGTAATTCGGTTACCACAGATATAATATAAAATACTACTAATTTTTATCTCGATTATATCGAAAAAGATAATTCGAATTAGTTAGTTTTAATTTACTATTATTATTTAATTCGAATTTTCCCAACACTACTTTATTCAATGTATTCTATTAACTGTGCCGAAGCCGTTTAATAAATTAAACCATAATTTAAAGTTTTAAATTTAAAAGTGCCGAGTTTATGATTGTTTCAATTCCTATTGAAAAGCTCATATCTAAAATAAAAGCTTCTTCTAAAACGATATAAGTATGCCCTTGTTTACGTGCGGTTCGTATTTCTTTTTATTTTATCAGTTGCAATCAATGGGCGCGTTCAGGGACGGTCAGCGGCTGAGTGGCTGAGTAAGCGGTTTCCCTAAACGGTTTCTTTTTAAATGCAAAAACAGTCAGCCGCTGAGCAAAATACTCAGCGGTCGGTCAGCCGCTGTGTTCCCTGAACGCGCACAATAATTATTTAGATAAAAAAAGAAAATTAATTTTAGTGTTCGGCAGGTGTTCCGTGAAATTTGGGTGAGATGGAAATGAACCAAACAATAGTAGTATTCTTTCGTTCTGAACGAAATGAAAATTTTCACTTAAACTGATTTATTCCTACGTGGTATAGGAAATAACAATGATTACTGGATTTTTCTATATCGGATCGTTCCTTTCTTTGTCGATTCCCTTTATAAATCAGTTTAAGTGAAAATTTTCAGTTCGTTCAGAACGAAAGAATACTACTAATAGTACTATACTAATTACTAATATTCGTCCATAAGAGGTTATGTTTTATGTTCATTTGTAATTCGGTTACCACAGATATAATATAAAATACTACTAATTTTTATTTCGATTATATCGAAAAAGATAATTCGAATTAGTTAGTTTTAATTTACTATCGAATTAGTCGTATTATTTAATTCGAATTTTCCCAACACTAATTAAAATGAACCTAATAACCGAGAAAAAAATATCCCCGGCAGGCAGGATTTTTAGCTCACTTTTAAAAGGTGTCGGTGAACATTCAAAGTTTTCCAAAAATAAATTTGTACAAAAGGGAGGTTGGTAACCCTTTCGAACATGTAGAGCATTAGAAACTAGTTTGTGGCAGTTGATTTATTTATAATACGTTTCTTCGAAACCTCAAATAAAAAATACAGGTCCGTATTTAAAAAAAAATAAGTTGGCCTCTGTATCTCACAAATTATCAGCTAATTTGAAAATCTAAAAATACTATCAGATAGCCCCAATAAAGTGGCTATAGAATGTGCAATTAGTTTTTTGATTTTCTTAAAAGTAACGACAGGAAAAAAACTCAGCAATCCTTGAAATTTTAAAAACTTTTTTGATGGCCTCTTGGTCAACATCCCAAAGCGCAACTTTGCCCCAATTTAACCATGTTCGTATCTATTTACCTAGTACCTAGATACCAATGCTCGTACCCCGGATTTGTAGCGCTCTGTATACTTAGTTCAGGAACAATCGTAGAATATAAATTTCCGTAGCATAAAATCTCTAAAAAGTCACAAATTTATTATACTAACCTGCTAAATAAAACAACGAACAATATAAACAAATACCTACATTCCACACGACATATTTGATTTGTAAACTAGAGTACAACGTAGGTTTTCCTCTATAAAGATACAATCGTATTAAATTGCATTAAGAAATTGAACCTGGCCAACAATTAATATTTGTCAACTATTCGATTTTATCAGTTGAGTGCCTACTCCGTACGGGTTTTACAAGCCAATGCTATTTTCTCGTTATATTTATCGATATGGATCTAATAAATAAAGCTTGTATTTATTTCTTATTAACACGATAGCAATCTTAAAATCGTTGACATCTACTTTCAGCTGTATAAATTATTTATCAGTAAATTAATTCTTTAATGCTTGAGTCATAAATATGATATAGAATACATTAATAATTGAATGTAACAAATTAATGCCTAAAGAATGTGATTTGTGATGATGCTATTAAACATAAAAACCGACGTTTAAGTAGACCTTTCTCATTAGTTTCCTAGATTTTTTTAAATTCGAATTTTTCTTTCCATTTTTTTAAAGCTTATGACCTAAATACCATAGAATCGAAAAAAAACGGCGTCAAAAACGGCCTGGGAATAACAATCGATGACAATTTTGACGAGGTCTAGCCCTAGAAGTGATTATTTAGCCTGTACTATTCTTTATTTTTTGAAGGCGCTTACTGCCAGTTAGCCTTAAGAAGGCTGTAATTTATTTTTATATTGCGTGAAATATTTTTAAATGGTGGGGTTTAAAATTCGAGAAAAAATATTTTTTGGAAATAGATTTTTGTGTCTGGAAACGTTCTATCATTTTAAAATATTTCGGTAATACTGTTAATTTTTGACAAGTTTAATGTCAGTTTTTAATAAATAACGTCTAGAGATTGACCTCGCTAAAGTTATCATCGATGGTCATTTCCCAGGCGATTTTTTCGATCCTACGGTACAGTGGTTAAGCTAAGCACACTTGCTCAAAACTGTATAATCACAAGATTAAACGAACTTACCTGAAGTGAAGTTCAATCTTGATTATATGAAGGTCTCGTCGAAGTAAATAAGTCCCCTCCCACCCTCAACCTCATTTTACAACAACATAATAAGTATCTTTAAATTGACTAAATAAGAAATGATGCAAGGGCATATAATGAGGTAAGGGAGCAGGGAAGCGACGGGCATGTTGAAAATTGTTTGTTTAGGCTTTAAAATGTGTGGTCGCAGCACGTAGAAAAGGGTACTACACTGTACTTATTTACGAGACCAGACCGTATATAATAAAGAAAATTGCTATATAAAAGGATATATGTTGGAACGATCACATTTATACAGGGTGTCCCAGAAATAAGTGCAAGTATTTTAACTGGTAGTATATTTCAGCCTCAGAAACACGCCTATGAGATATTTTTTGCGAAATAAAAAATTTTGAAAATTTGGTATTTTTTGAAAAAAAAATTGGAGATTTTTTTTTTGCTATATAAAAGGATATATGTTGGAACGATCACATTTATACAGGGTGTCCCAGAAATAAGTGCAAGTATTTTAACTGGTAGTATATTTCAGCCTCAGAAACACGCCTATGAGATATTTTTGGAGATATAATTGCAGATTTTTTTTTTTGCTATATAAAAGGATATATGTTGGAACGATCACATTTATACAGGGTGTCCCAGAAATAAGTGCAAGTATTTTAACTGGTAGTATATTTCAGCCAAAAAAATTGGAGATTTTTTAGTTTTAAGTTAAAAAACATAATTTCTTGATAATATGGCAACATACGTAGTAGCTTAAATTTACATGAAAGAAAATCCAGAAAAAATCCAGTGGTTCTCAAAATTTTAGCAAAAAATCATTTTTTTTTGAAAATTTTCAAAGTAAAATAACTCTGTTATTTTGGATTTACTTGAAAAACGGCAAAGAGAAAAAATGTTTCTTTTGACCAGTTCTACCACCCCTTACAATACTTGCACTTATTTCTGGGACACCCTGTATAGTGCAAGTTCAAGATTGCCCCCAGTTGCCCCCATTGTCTTGGTTTTGTAGTCTAACATTAATAGTTTTGGTCTTAGTTTTGCTGCAAAACTCTTACAAGTCTTGCATATCTAATGAACGCATTGACGAATCGCATCGCCGAACCGCATCAGCGCATAGTGAGTATAAGACCGTCACGTTAGATGTGTAAAAATGAACATTTCAATTTGAACACTACTTTAAGAAATAATAATTACCTAATAAATCATATGTATTTTTTAATCTAAACATGTTAACGAGAAAGGTGTGTATATCTTATCTTTACATAGTTCATCGCAACACGAAAATTATATCTATACACTGCTAACTGCTACCTATACCTACATGCCTTATCGTATTTTGCTATTAACAACATACCGCATAGATAAGAAAACTAGAGTACTCTGTATATATACGTCGCCTTTGTAAATTATTTGCATATTTGTAGATTATTAATTTATAACAATTAACATAATTTGCCTTGATTAATTACTAAAACAACCGTTGACACGCGACATGTTAGTAATCAACAATGGAATATTAATAACAATTTAAGATCAACAGAAATGATAAGTATAATCTCCTGTCAATTAAATAATTAAAAAGAAATAAAAATCCAAATTTTAAGCAAAAATCCGATTATTTCTTGTGTGCCAAACATTTGAAGGAACTTAAGAGTTTAAGCTCCAGGCTACGAATGTAGTCTTCCAGGGTCTTGAATTCTACTTTAAGTTGGTTTCCACTTGGGAGGCAGAACGGTTCTGGTCAAGTTAGTGATGTGTTCGCTCTTTTTCTAGATAGATCGTTAGCTTTTTCATTATCTTTTATTTTTTGGTGGGCTGGCAGCCGGCACAAAGTCCTCCTACTTTATTTTCTTTGGTTTGTTTCTTCAGGTGCTCTATAGACATTCTTTAACCAACTTCGTAGATCGCTCTTAAGGCTTCAGTCTTAAGAAAATTTAGCCAAGCAGCCAAAGCTTGACTATCGGATCAGATGACTATATCTTGTTTCCGCTAATTACTATCTAAGACAAGTTGTACGCATCTTTCGATAGCGTAGATTTCTGACTGGAGGATGCTGGGGTAGATTACCATTACTGCCATTACTCGATGACGAGTATTCGACACGCATCAAAAGATGGTCACGCAAGGCATTTTCTTTCATGAGCTTTTCTGTGACTGAAAAGCCCGATACGTGATGTTATTTGCCTACCGCACTCCGGACATTCAAAAATCCATTGCTTTACTTTTTGGTTGTCGCTGTTAACTGAGTTCACAATTCTTCTCCATTGAGTTCTATTGTGAACTGCTCCTTCCCAACGATTTTGCATGTTAATCCCCTTTAAGTTTTCGTGGAAAATGTCCTTGTACCTTTTGAATTGTCCACCCGGTCTCCTCTTACCGTCTACAAGCTCACCAGAAAGCAGAGATTTTGGTATGCGATTTTCTTGCATTCTGCATACTTGACCAGCCCATCTTAAGCGGGATTTTGTAACCATGACTTTAATACTCTCGCAGTTAGCTTTTTCAAGGACCGATACGTTTGAGACATGATGGAACCATGGACCACCGCTGGGGTAGATGCCTATTGGTTCGGAGTATTTAGTTCTCGACCCAAATACTCCTATCCCTCTTCCTGCTTTGGTTTGGAAAGCATCAGTATACAACGTTATGGTATATGGTCAACAGCTGAGCAAACGTTTCTCTCTTCCTCCAATTCTTTTTGTTGCCGAATACTACAGCGAGGTGTTGTACATTTTTGGTATGTCACCCAGTGGCAGTTGGAGGAATGGAATTTTCCTTTTGAATTTTTTTTTCGATCGTATGTTATTTCTAGCCGTACTTAATAAAAATATAAAATCTAAACATTGATCATATTAATCTTTTTTTTATTATAAACTCATTCTCAAAATCATGTTATAAAAAAAACTGTAATATCCTGAACGATCAAGCAAAAAAATATACCGTAAACGTTATGATGCAAACTACCGATTTATTCGTGCTGAAATATTTACAATATTTTGACACACCCACACCTCCAAAGTGATCGATCGCTTGACAATGGAACACAAACAAAACACGAAGGAAAAAAATAATACTGAGAAATACTTACCAGTCGCTTTGACGGTTTTATTAGAGGCCTGTTCATACCGTTCATTTTGTGGTATAACCCGCAGGCGTTACATAGGTAGTGCCCGGTACCGTCACGACGCCATAGAGGCGTTGAAATAGCACCACAGTTAACACACTCACGTCCTTCGCCGAATTGGAACTCCATAGTCGGATCTGTAAAATACAAAATATATATTTAGTAGGCATTAGTAGCTGATGTGATGAATTTTGAATCGCCTAACCTTATAAATATAGAAGAACTATTTTTTCCCGGGACTTGTGACTTGGGACTTATTGATATATTGGCGATATTTGAAGGTACATATGTGTGTCGTTGTAATTGATAGTCTATAAATAAAGATAATCGTTTGACAGAATTTAACCAAACCATGTGTTATTTTTCAACATTATCGTTATATTTTGGACAATTCAGACAAATTATACCCTGTGTGTTATTCTGAAGTGTAAGCTACATTATTGTAAAGTTTCATTAAAATCCATTTAGTAGTTTTTGCGCGAAAGAGTAAGAAACATCCATACATCGATACATACAAACTTTCGCGTTTATAATATTAGTAATTTTATAGCAAGAGTAATGGTATATTAAACAACCCCAGGGTTTCCAACTGGCAAAGGAGTAAGACAGGGAGACGCAATATCTCCAAAGCTGTTTGTAAATAGCTTTATTTTAAAGAAATCTTCTGTTAACTGGACTGGACCTAAAAAGGATTAAAAATAGATGGAGAATATCTTAACCATCTAAGATTAGCTGATGACATAGCCCTAATTGTCCATAGTCGAAGAACTACAAGCGCAAATTAACGAACTAAATACAGCCAGCAATAAAGTAGGTGTCAAAATAAATTTAGCAAAAACGAAAGTAATGTACAACGAACTAATAGACATAAACGACATTCTAATAATAACGCAACACTGGAAATAGTAGAAGAATATATTTATATTTAAGACAATTTAGTACCAGAAATCGACAGAATTGACAAAATTAAGTTAGCATGGTGTACATATGGAAGAAACTCAATCATATTGAAATCTAGAATGCCGGCGCTTTATCTAAAAGAAGAAAACATGCGACCAATGTGTACTAGCAGTCATGACCTATGCTTACGAAACCTGGACACTTAAAGCGGACATTATAAGGAAACTGCAGCTCGCACAACGCTCATGGAACGAAATATGCTGGGAATAACCAAGAAAGACCGTAAAAGAATAGAGTGGATACGACAAAAGACACAGGTAATCTACAGCATGAAAATTCTCAAATGATTTGGCAGGACACTTGGTAAGAAGGACGGACAACAGATGGACCACGAAAATTATAGCATGGTACCCACGAGGAATTAAGAGACCTAGAAGACGACCAAACCTAATATGGGACCATGCTATTAGGAAATTAGCAAGGGTATCTTGGGCCCGCATATCCAACAATAGACAACAATGGGCCCAACTACAAAGAGAGTATCTAAATATGTGAGGGAGGCTACACCATAATTGGTAATGTTTTTTTTTGTTGAGGAGGGAGAAAATCTTGCATAAGACACCCCGAAAGGGTAGTGCCGGATTCCTACCGGCTAAAAAAACCCTCCTCTGCCCTGCCACAGAAGCGCATTGGAATCCGCTTTCGCATTTCTTCAATCCAGCCGTTGTCCTTAATCTTCTTCTATCAGACTTTGCATCATCTGGGACTCCTTCTCTTTATTTTCCATAATATGTCTTATAATCATTGTAACTTTGTCCCAGGCATTTTCCCCGTCAACTAAACTATTTGCTACATTTCCTATGTTGAACATTTCTTTTGTATGATGCAAATATTGACCTCTAATTTGATCCCATCTAAGACATGCAAATAAAATATGTTCTGCGTCATCTTCGGCATGACAATATATACACTGAGGTGTGGTCTTTTTTTTCGAACAAACAGATATTTACCAAAGCACCCATGACCCGACAACGCTTGCGTTATGTAATAGTCTACTTCTCCGTAGCCTCTAGTAATCCACTTTTCAATGTTCGGGATAAGTTTATGTGTCCATCTGCCATGTTTTCCATTTTCCCATTTATTTTGCCACTCAGTAATCATTTTACTTCGGGCTTCTTGCCTTGGCAACCCACAGTAAGTTGCATATCTTTCTTTTATTATAAGCTCTATTGGAGGAATTCCAGCCACAACGCAAGCACCTTTACCAGATATTGTTCTGTATGCACAGAAAACTCTGATGCATATTGTTCTCTGCACTCTTATAAGTTTCTGCAGTTGTTTTTTATTCTGCGTTATAGTATGCCATGCCGGTGCTGCATATAGAATACGCCTTTTGGATGGTTTGGGACCCCTGATATTCGGCATGAGACTAGTCAATGCCGATATCGTCTTCTGCGCTTTAACAACAGTTTTGTCACTATGTACCCCGAACGTCAGTTTTGAGTCCAGCCATACACCAAGATACTTAATGGCACTACTCGGATTAACTATTGTTTGCTCTACATTAAAATATAGTCTAGCTATTTTTCTCTTGGTCGTTAGTAGAACTGCTTCCGTTTTATGAGGTGCAAGTTGAAGGTTTTGCCTCCTCATCCACTTTGTTACACGCATTAGTCCGGTGTCGGCCATATTCATCAAGGATTCCTCACTACTAGCTGTTACAACCATGGCGATGGTGTCTGCAAAACCAACGAGTGTAATTCCATCTGGCATGCGGGTCTCTAGCAAACTATCATATAGAATGTTCCACAAGGTTGGGCCAAGGACCGATCCTTGAGGAACACCACCATAAATTGACACAATCTTAGTGGTCTCACACAATTCAAGTTTTATTTTTCTTTCACTCAGATATGATGATATTAATTGTACAAGATGCTCATCGATATATCTAGTTCTCAACTCATTTAAGATTTTATTCCACGGTGCACTATTAAAAGCGTTTTTCACATCAAGTGTAATCATAGCACATAGTTTTCTGTTTGCATGTGCAAAACCTGCAGCGCACTTGACAATTTTTTATAACTTTTTTAATTGCATCTGTTGTCTGTAGACCTTTTCTAAATCCATATTGTCTGCGTGAAAGACCACCAGGTCTGTCCAATTCAATTTGTAATCTGTTAAGTATTAGGTGTTCGTACAGCTTACCTTCCACATCCAGTAAGCTGATACGTCTATAGGAAGAATTATCTAAAGGCAAATATATTATTTTTTGGAATAAGAACAAGATCTGCTAGCTTCCATTCTACTGGAAATATAGCAGCTACCCCAAGAGAGTTATACAATTTCAGTGCATAGTCAGGTTTGTTAAGCACCACGCGTTTTAATACTTCATGCGGTATATGCCCTGGGCCAGCAGCTTTTCCCAATTTTATTTTCATAGCAGCTATCTGGAGTTCATCGTGTGTAAAAGGTAAGAAACTAATGTCTTTATCGTTCTTTTTATCACAGTATTTTCTTATATCACAGTTTGTATCAGATTCGTTAGTATCGCAGTTTTTAGTATCACTAAAGTCTATATCACAGTATTTACTATCACAGTCATTTGCCACTTTGGTAATGGTTAAATAAGCTGAAAATGATGATGATGATAATGATGATATCTAGCAAGAGACATCCAAGAACATCAAGGGTAAAAATAATACAAAGCAATTTATGTTGGAATGAACGAATAAATAAGTAAATTAGAAAAATAAATCTAGAACCGTTTAAAAAATACCAAAATCTATATTTGCGGGCTTCAAAATATTGTTTTTATGATTCTGTATCAAAATTAAAGAGAAACAAATTTATTTTAGTACCATTTTAAAAACGAGTAGATCCATTTATGAAACACTGATTAAATTTATCTCGAACGTATAAGTACTTCTAATTACTTCCTGCCTCGGTCGATTTTTTAATCTATTCCTGAGGTTATCCAGAGAGGGAAGTGCATGAATACTCTCCTACTCTATCCGGCGGCATTATCTGTGCAACTAAAGTGCCCCCAAACAACCGGTGTCTGGTCTGGCGCGTTTTGGAGAGCCGCAGTACCGCTCTTTGATCTTTTCCCTTTCTCTGTCTCGCTCTGATTTATATTGAAATCTCTTATCAGGGAGCGTCCTAATGCACTCTTAAATTACGCCGGCCGGCCGTAGGTTCACGATAGATACTTTACTGGTACACTTTTAGACAGAAAGTACTATCCTTGGTAGGTACTATCATAAAAATCTCAAAGATACAATGTGTCAAAAATATAGTGTATTTAAGTATAAATACCTACCTTCGGTGGGTGATTCTATATAAAAATAGAATAAAAAGTCCCTATCAATATATACCCTAAAATGCTTCCCGATCCCGAAGAACATAAATAAAATATTATTATTTACCGTAAGGTGAGCTCCTTTGGAACCCTCCATCGTAGGCTCCCCACGACCTCATCATCATGTTCTGCGCATAGAATTGCCCCGCCGTTAGAGCGCCTGCGTGATGCGATGTTGCACCCAAGCCATGCGCAGCAGGAGTTGCCATTTCGGCATAACCTCCCCCAGTATGCCAAGCATTTTGATGGGCGGCTGTACCTAGAAAAAATAGTAAAAAAATATTTTATTATTTTTAAAAACATACCAAATAAACGATAAATTAATTTGTCAACTCTAGTGAAATTATTTATATTTTTATTTTAATACTAGAACACTCCTGCAAAATATATATCCTACGTACGCCAAAGCCGGGTATTTCAAATGGCAATACATTTCTTATAAGTTGCAAACATTAAATTTAAGGAAGTACAAAGCACTTTATATTGTAAAGTTATTCGGTTATATAACACTAAACAGGGTGTAACGTAATGTTAGCGATAAATTTAGCTACATACGTATGCGTATAGGTAGAGCTAAGCTAGTAAAGTACCTTATTTATTAAATTCCCTGTGCATAATATTCGTTTCACAGTTAAAGAAACGATATTTATTTTATTTCTGGTTATTCAGTCTAGCGCAGAGATCTGAATAGTCGGTATAATTAAAATGTAGGTATTTTATATTAAATTTATATAATAAAATAGAAAATTCATGTAATTGAGTCATGCATTTGATTTGATGTTAATTTTAATACCGGTATAATATCGGATTGGAATTAGTTCTAGACCATTTCGTTGAAAGTTTTCTTATATTAAGGATACTACTTGATTCAAGCAACAATTGACAATCAGATAGTTTAACTATATTATGTTTACTTATCCATATACATATATACAACTATTTTTCATGAAATTATTCTAATACCAACTTTCGAATTCAAAAAAAAGATGTTACACATTTTTACCTTAAGTCAATTTCATTTAAACGAGTTTTTCTTTTTTGATAACTATAATACTCTTTAACTCTAATATTCTTTATTACTATAATATATACAGGTTGGTCTAAATTGTCTGCAGTCAAAAATACGTAAAAAGGGTGGTACTCGGGTTGGTATAAATTTATATCCTACAATGTTTCGTTTGTGCGGGTTGTCATTTTATTTTCTATATTTGGGTGAAAACTGGTATCTGATCATATCTCACTATGACTTTTACTTGTAGTGCCACCTACATGTTTTTAACTGTTTTGAAGAACAATAACTTTTTGTCTATACTTTTATTACACCTACTGAGGGAAAGAATATACATATCCATCGTTTTTTTACGTAAAAGAGAGGTCTCTTGGAAAAAAAGGTTACGGGCTACCATTCTCTAGATATTTGCTATATAAAACATGTTGACAAATAGTGATTAGACTGAAATAATAAAATTAGAAATAGTCTTGTTCAAAAAAAAAAATTATCATAATTTTCACTAGATTTTTTTTTATTAATAGAAAAAGTAAAAGGTTCCCAAATTTATCATTACAGTCAAATAACTATCTAGTCTCAACATGTTGAATTTTTGTCAATGTTACCATGTATTAAATTATGTCCATACCAATTATCTTCAGAATGGTTGGTCGTAGCGATTTACCAATAGGCATTTTTTGAGATTCATATTAAGAAAGATTGTTTGAAATAAACTGAAATAAAACTTCTACACCCTGTATTTCCGAAACGAAGCATTTTAGGATATAAATTTATACAAACTTTATTACTTATTTTTATATGTAGAAATTGCGATTACAATTCTCACTATCCTGCGTATGCCTTTTATTTTGTTATTACTAACTTTTTGATCAAACTATATACATACCAAAGTGACCACTAGCTGGTGATGGATACTGAGGCATACTGGCCGACCTATTGGTAGGAACGTACACTGGAGATTGCTGAAGATGTTGATGGAATCCTGTATTAGTGTCGTTGTAGCCCGTCGTGTTCACAGCCGAATGAAACATGATGCGACTGGGATGAAAGAAGAAGATATTTTACTTCCGTGACATCTGAAACAATTTAGCAGATTTTTAGTATGATAAAGGTTAGTTCATATATAGAGCGAGATATTTATAAACAAAATATGTGGTGATCGCACTAAATTCATTTAATAATGAAAGTAGCGAACACTCCAGTATAACTGGACCAGAACGGTTCTGCTCTCCAAGTGAAAACCAGGGGTGGATGGGCCATATCGGAAAACGGGAAAATTCCCGGTGGGTCGGTGGATAAATGGGCCGGTGGGCCGGCCCCGATCAGAGCTCAAAAAAGATTGGATTAGCAAAAATTAAATGGTTAATCTTCAAACTAAAGTGACGTAAGATCCTTAGTGACTCCATAACTAACTAATCAATTTTCATATACTAATCAGTATAATCGTCAGTTGCTTTTAAACATAAACACCAATTTGTAAGATAACTATTGTAAAATATCTTTCTCTGGGACACTTATAATTTTAATAATCATGTGTTGTTTGTTCGGTTTGAAAATTTTTATTATACAAAGTGAGTCTATAAGGAACAAATATTTTCAGGGCTGGTAGATCTCAATAAAATAAACATAATATATATTTTCTTTATCGAGTTTCAAATAAGTTCAATCGAGTTATTAAAGTTTGTAAATTAAAAGAAATATTTTTTTAAATTTGAGCCACCTCAATTTCAGTATTTGGATCTCTTTTAGTGACGTAATATCAGAGATTAAGAAACTATATACCGTTGAAAAATTTGCGGGGAACATGAGTTCTAAAAAGTTTTCTAAAATATACAGAAAAATTTAAAAGAAAATGCTCGATTTGTAACACCTTTTTTTGCAAAAAAAAGACTGATAGACGTGTTCCTGGGGTCGAAATATACCACCCCTGAAAATATTTGCACTTATTTAACACTCACCCTGTATAGTTTTACCCAATATTCTTTTATTAATAACTAATAAATATGACTGACTGGCAGCAAAAAAAAAGAACGAATAGCGTTAGGTAAATTTAAATAGTCTCGATCTAAATGTATACTAAGAATACGGTAGCGTAGATTGACAACTGGGGGCCTCGGTGCAATATTTTTCGAGCTCCCCTTTGTAAAAAGGCAGACGAATTTGACGCGAACTCTGCGATTGACGGAGAAAACATATCTATACTTGGCTTGAGTTGGGAACGGAACTAAAAGCCAAGTTTAAATTGTTGTTTAAAATGTTGCTACAATGAATTTGCTAAAAATTACTGCGACAGCAGAGAAGAGTTAAATAAGGCGTAAATTAGATTAGATAATAAAATATTAATATGTCTCGAAAATCCAAATATTCGTTATTATGGACTGTAACATAACATTACATCAAAACACATTTATATCCACTGACTAGGTATTGCCTAGGTTCTTCTTGTTTGAGTCATACAAGATGCCAAATGTACCAAAGTATAGAGGAAAAGTTTCGTGATAAGAACTATATAATAACCTAAAAAATGCTCCAGTTTTAATGGCGACCGCGGTTCATTCAGTTAAAAACACGTGTACACGAGGAGGCTGCTGCTGTAGCAGAAAAGAGAGAATTTCTTTCTACAATGTGTAAGAAAGTATATAACCGAAAAGCTAAAAGTAATGTATTTTACAGAGGATTGGGTCAGCTGAACTGAATGAATCAGGAAGTCTTAAAGTTTCTCAAAATCGTGACTCAGAATCGTAGCCTATTCAAGATCAAATTACCGTTATCGATAATGGAAATAGAGCAGTAGAACCCTGTAAAACTGAGCCATTATGTAGTAAAAATTCAGATGTCCGACCCAATATTGTCATTTACGAAAATTTTAATCAAGACAATTTAATTTTTTTTAAAAACCGGAGGCAAAAGAGCTTTTTCGCACGAGCGAAAAAAACCTTAACTTAGGTTGTCCCAGAAATAAGTGCAAGTATTTTAAGGAATGGTGGAATCTCGATAAATGAAACATATTTTCTCTTCATAGTTTTTCAAATAAGTCCAAAATAACTCAGTTATTTTACTTTGAAAATTTCACACCTCTACTTTTCAACCAATAACATGCTTTAATGTTGACTAGTTACCATGGCAACTGAAAAAATTTCCGGAAATTTTTTCGAGGCGCCACGAAACTTTAGTGGAAATTTTTTGACAGTTGAAAAGGTAAACATAAGATCTTCAATCATAATGTGAATGAACTACAATGTCTATATATTGAAATATTACCCATTTGAGTTTTAGCATTTGATGTAACTAAGGTTGGTAATATTTTTTATTTAAGGAAATATGTTAGATATACCTACATATGAATTTCTTCGAAATTGCCATGTTCTAAAAAATATAGTTCTGCCGCCTTTATTTAACTAAAGCTGGTATTTTTCTATTTAACGAAATATGATGGATATATCTATATGATTTTTTTAGAATTTATTTCATGTTGAATTATCTTCAATGCCAAATCTTTAATGATATCGACTAATATAGCAAAATAATAACGAAACACATTTAGTAATTATAGGTTTTATTAATATTAAAAACACAATTATTAATACCTTGGCCAACTTAACAAATTGAAATTATTTTAAAATGTCATGTTGGATTAATATTTTTTTTTTCAAATTTAGGTGTGAAATTTTCTTACCGAATACCACGCAAGCTTAAATTATTCCTGGAAATTTTCTTTCGGGCACGAATATTTTAGGAAAATTATCCCTCGTCTTCGACTCGGGATAATTTTCAAAATATTCGTGCCCTCAAAAAAATTTCCGAAAATAATTTAAGCTCTTGTGATATTATAAGTGAAAATTTCCAAAAAAAAATTCTTTTTGCTCAAATTTGAGAACCACTGGATCTTTTCTGGATTTTCTTTCTTGTAAATTTAATCTGCTACCTATGTTGCCATATTATCAAGAAATTATGTTTTTAAACTAAAAACTAAAAAAAATCCAAAACGCTTTTCAAAAAATTCCGAATTTTCAAAAGTTTTTTTTGCGAAAAAAACCTCGTAAGCGTGTTTCTGGGGTTCAACTATATTACCAGTTAAAATACTTGCACTTATTTCTGAGACCATCTAGTATTAATAAATAAAATATGTTTCTTCGTTATGGTCATTTTGTTTTTGTGGATTTGGGCCGGTTGTCTGTTTTTCCCGGGCCGGTTTCCACTTCCCCATCCACCCCTGGTGAAAACCAACTTAAAGCGGAACATCAGAACCTGGAAAATGTCATCCGTACTCTGGAATGGGAATCCTGTAATTAAGGCACTTAAAGAAATTTCTGAGGAAATTTCTAGGACTGAGAAAAATCAAAGATTTTCAATTCATTTAAGTAAGAACAATCTTCGGATTGTCACGGGGTTTTTAACAGGACACTGTCTCTTCAAAGAACACCTCAGTAGATTGCAGCAGAGAAACAACGGCGAATGTAGATTCTGTGGGGAAAATGGGGAAACACCAGAACACCTCATCACTGTATGAGTGCGCCGAGAGGGCAACCTTTCGTGCCATAAACTTTGATACGACCGATATCTGAGATGGAAAACTAACCTCTCTAAAAGTCTTAGATACTGGCTCTTGTCGAAGCCCTGAGACTGTGATGAGTTATAACTCGCATAAAATCTACATCTACATATTATTTCCCGAAATTCATTATGGTAAATTATAAAAATACACCTTTATCTATTTTTTACGCAGTTCATCACTAAGATCTCTTCTACCGACGCGACGGTGCATTTTATTTACATTTCTTCTTTTTCGTATTGAAAATTCCAGTAGCAGCGGCTAACATATCGAACATCCACTCCGGCCTTATCTCGCTGGCATCGGTTTCGCGTATCGACATTGATTAAAGATGTTTCCTCTCTATCTCTCTTGTATCTCGCGTTCTCGTGGGCCTTCTCGGGGCCAAGAACCACGCCCATGACGGCCCATGGAAGGCGCGTATGGGGCCCTAGAGAGGGAAGACCGCCGTCCATTACGGAGGCAATTAAGCGAGGATGGTATCGTGCAGAGTTGCCGTATAAAAAATAAGAAGAAGAACCGAAGAAGGAAGAAGAACAAGAAATAAGTAGTGAAATTTCGTAGATTGATCTAAATCATCGTAGTTTGTATACTGGTGGAGAAATGATTTGAGATAAATTATCTTCTTGAGATGACAATGTCTTTAATTTTGAAATTCTAGACGACTTTTTAGCTTGTATGTTTTATAAATCGTTAGCAAGTAAAACCAAGTCAAAGACCCCTCCTTCACGCCGCGCCGCTAAAGAGGGGTTTCCACATGTTCTTGCTGTCAATACTAGTCTGCTTCTAAAGGATGTCTGGGTTACGTGAATATAAGTTGCAATGCACTACAAATTTAAGAAAATATTTTGTTCCAAAGTTTATCAATTTCTACAACAAATGGTGGATCGTACAAAACTAAATTATGTAAAAAGTCTACCATACTTTTAATAAAATTTCTTTCGTAATATCGTCTTGTTATGAATAATAATAATTTTCAAAGTTCTATTGAGTGGGGCAATTTGTATATTGGGCAGACGCGGTATAATTAAATCCCTATTTTTGGAATGTGACATCATATTTTCTTCTTCTTCTTCTTCTTCTTTTAGAAGGCGTATCGTCTGTTTAGTTCCGGTTTCCTCCTCGTCTAAGCAACTCTTGCGAGGTTGACTGCCAACTGTCTTGCCAACGTTTAGGTGGTCGTCCAGTAGGTCTTCTGCCATGGGGTACGTTGTTGCGAATTATTATGGCCATTCTGTCGGGGCCCATTCTATTGACATGCTGGTTCCATTCTCTTCTTCTCTGCCTTATCCATCTGACAACGTCGTTTGTTTGGCACTTTTCTCTTATGTCTACATTTCTCTGTCTGTCCCTCAGTGTGTATCCAGTTATCATTTCAGTAGTTCGTAGGATTCTCTTTGTTACTGATGTTTCAGCTCTGGTTTCCGCACCATATGTCATCACTGGTCGTATGCAGGTTTTGTATATTCTTGACTTACATTCTGTACTCAAATGTTTGTTTTTCCATATGGGATATTTAAGATG